CATAAAGTAACTGTCTGACTCGATCTGTCCAAGCCCCCCATCACTACTCCAAACATAAAAAATTAACTGTCCGACTCGATCTGTCCAACCCCCCACCCCCCATTACTACTCCAAACATCAAAAATTAACTGTCCGACTCGATCTGTCCAAGCCCCCCATCACTACTCCAAACATCATAAAGTAACTGTATGACTCGATCTGTCCAAGCCCCCCTCCCCATCACGTCTCTGAACATCATTTATAATTTCTTCATTTTAGTTTGGCTACTTTTATTTGTTTGTTGACAAAGTCTGAAAACACTGACCCCATAGAATCCCTCTCTAATACGTCATGCAGCATTCTCAAACACAAGATTTGTTTTCACGAAGAAAGTTTCAGCCTATAATACACACTGTTAATCAAATAATTTCATAACTGACAACTAGTGTACAATATAAACTGTTCCAAGTTCTTATGACTGTTAAAGGAACCAAATGTGGACTAGTGTTTATAAGTCTATCTAACTCTTCTTTACAAATTTTGTGTCATATTTTCATCAAAGCAATGAAGATTTTAAAGGTAAATTAAATACATACCATCTATCCCCGTGCACTATTCCATTTACAAGAATTATAACACCAATGTACAAGTGCAATTAATATGTAACGAAAAAACGAATCATTATACACATACAAGTGGTGAATGTAAATCATTCAGGTATACACAATAATCAATAGGCCAGTAGTTACATGTTTTTCATTAATAACAATAACATCAGTTTACACATAATAGGTTGGTGCCCAAATCTTTATAGCCTTAATAGTATCATCAATATTACATTATTATATGTAATAAAGAACATGCATTTTTCAGATGTTGATGTTTGGTATGCTACAAGGTAAATATTATTTGTGCTGTAATATTAATTTGGCAACCAAACCATGACACCAATTTATTATGTAATTGTTTGGTGGCCAAACACCAATTTAACATGTAATTGTTTGGTGGCCAAGCAATCACACCAATTTGACGTGTACTTTTTTGGTGGCCATATAATAACATAAATGTTAAAATGCAGCTTTTTAGTGTCCCTCAAACAAACATCAATATTATTTTATCATTTTGTTGTGCCATAAAAATAAAACCAATAAATAATGTAGTTGCTTGACTTGTTATGCAACAGAAACAATGTGTGCAATAGTATCAGATGTAATGTGGGGAGGTTGAAGCCATTTACAATATTATTTTAAACGCTGCCAAATATGCTATGTCGATGAGCAGGATGTGCCTCACACAAAGATTCAGTGAACATCTTCACAACATTGTTCAAGATAAGCTTTGATCCGTCTCAACTCAATTCAAAAGAAGTGACCGCAAAGGCTTTGCGTATGTTTTCTCTACAAACACACCAGTCAGGGTGAGCTTGGAGTTGGAGAACAAACTGACACACACCAGCTGGACCCTGACACCGCATGGCATGAATAACATGTTGTCTTTCCCTCCATCCCTTCCTTATTTACAAACTATCACCTTGTACTTTCTTTCCCTTCTTTTTCCCCCTTCCTTATATTAACTCCCCTTACCTAATCAGAGCTTTCTATAATTTTTGAGATGTCTCGGACACAGCCTACGTTCTTTTATACTTTGTTCAATGATTGATGACACATTCCTTATTTTGTTTGGTCTTCATTTAGGCTCTCTCCTACACTGTGTTTGATCCAGGAAATAGCTGCAACCAAGTTCATGGAGATATTCCCATTCTATGTTGAAACCACTTACATCCTGGATCCAGGTGTTAAACTTCAAGGTGAGCTCCACGTCTATTTAAATGCCACATGAAAACATTCTAAAACAATAGAATACTACGAGTTGTTACTTTCCAAAATGACATGATAATCTAAACATGGGTTTTGTTATAAATTTATCAAGTCCGGTGTTCCGTAAGTCCATTTTCTTTATACCGTAATAAACTTGTGGCTTGCCGAATGATTACATCTCAGACATGCCACATTTAAGATTTGTTAAATTAAGACTTGTTACATTAAAAACACGTTGATCTTCTCATATGTTACATCACTTGTTGACTTCTTATGTGTTCCAACTGATCCCTTTGCTCTACAAATTATTGTGGGAAATTTTCATAATAATTTTTACAACGTTACCGTGATACAAAAAGTAGAACTGGTGACTTGAAATACAGGGTAGGCTTAACATTCAATAAGCGTGGACCAGCCAGTACATCATGTTGAACAGTTTTCACTGACATAAATCTAACTTATTGAGACAATCGTGGTAATGAGACAGAAGGAACAGAGACAATTGTGGTAATGAGACAGAAGGAACAGAGACAATCGTGGTAATGAGACAGAAGGAACAGAGACAATCGTGGTAATGAGACAGAAGGAACAGAGACAATTGTGGTAATGAGACAGAAGGAACAGAGACAATTGCGGTAATGAGACAGAAGGAACAGAGACAATCGTGGTAATGAGACAGAAGGAACAGAGACAATTGTGGTAATGAGACAGAAGGAACAGAGACAATTGTGGTAATGAGACAGAAGGAACAGAGACAATTGTGGTAATGAGACAGAAGGAACAGAGACAATTGCGGTAATGGACAGAAGGAACAGAGACAATTGTGGTAATGAGACAGAAGGAACAGAGACAATTGTGGTAATGAGACAGAAGGAACAGAGACAATTGTGGTAATGAGACAGAAGGAACAGAGACAATTGCGGTAATGGACAGAAGGAACAGAGACAATTGTGGTAATGAGACAGAAGGAACAGAGACAATCGTGGTAATGAGACAGAAGGAACAGAGACAATTGCGGTAATGAGACAGAAGGAACAGAGACAATCGTGGTAATGAGACAGAAGGAACAGAGACAATTGTGGTAATGAGACAGAAGGAACAGAGACAATTGTGGTAATGAGACAGAAGGAACAGAGACAATTGTGGTAATGAGACAGAAGGAACAGAGACAATTGCGGTAATGAGACAGAAGGAACAGAGACAATTGTGGTAATGAGACAGAAGGAACAGATACAATTGTGCTAATGAGACAGAAGGAACAGAGACAATTGTGCTAATGAGACAGAAGGAACAGAGACAATTGAGAGAGAGAACTTAAATAAACTAATTTATAGCAATACTTAAAGCTAAGTGGAGAGTTACTGAGTTATAGTTTGTGTTTCATTCGATGGATTATTCAATTAGTAAAATTCCCTTCCGAAGGTAATTCATATTTTGTTCAGAGTAGATTTGTTCAAAAAGTTTAACAAAAAGTATACAACTTATACATACGTAAAAAGGAAATTATGAACATGAAAAAATAGTATTAACAATGAAGGCAAACATATTAGCATTGTTGAGAGAAGACATTGTTCTGTCATAAACTGTGCTTGCAATCATCAACTATAGATGCAGTCATTAGCTGTTTTTGTTGATCATCGGCTGTACTTGTTTGATCACCAGCTGTTGTTGGCTGATTATCTTAACACGTAGCGATGATAGAAATGAATCAGAACATCCCTGGAAAACAAATGTCTCCCATTTTCTTCCTCCTCTCCTCCATTGGGCAGAGAGCACAACATCACAGATTAATAAACCACATCCGGCCAAAAGGGAACTTACTCTAACAGTACTAACACTGTGGTGGATTAAAATGTTTGTCTCCCTTTCCACGGCCAATGGGGTTTTCGCTGCCACGTTCTTGCACGCCGTAACAACGTCGTGCGTCTTAATGTGAACAGAAACTACACGAAATGACACGTTACAACACTACGATATCTTCCAGTGAGTGACCACCAGACCAATAAATATACAAAATGTTGACTGGTGAAGTGCACAGCTGGACGAGTTGTTTGAGGACGAGACTGTGCCTGAAATGACAAATCATATCGAATTATCGAGCAAGTTGCAAAATAATAAAAACAATTTAAAAAAACAACAACAAACGTATAACGGATGAAATGATGTTTTATTGATGTTAAAACGTAAATGAATTTTCAAGGGGTGTAACTGGGATAATAAGTGAAAATTCGATTTAAGAATGGTAGCCTACTTTACAGGATTCGAATGTTTAAATTTTGACATGGGAATTTGATAAAAAAATATTATAACTGTACTATTTATAGTTTTATTACAAAAAAAAATTGTTAACAGCAAATCAGTTTGGAATCAGTTTATCAAAATTCTGCAAAACATGGTAAGATGCTGACACTGGACTAAATTGCCAAATGTTTACTTTGTGTGATATGTGCATGTTGTTGATAAAGACCACTAGTAAGATGAACCGCAGAGACAATACTTAGATGCACCAAAGACACAATAGAAAGATACGCCACAGAGACAACAAAAGATGCAACAAAAGACAATACAAAAATGCACCAAATAGACCATACAAAGATCACCAAAAAAGATTATTCTCACAAAAAATAGAATAGAATGGAGATCAAAATTTAAAGAATATTTTACATTAAAAAATTGATAACTTACCTCTCTTGACATTACTTGAGTCAGCTAGGGAGGAACAAACAATGACGTCATATTAGTAATATTAGATCACTTATTGTCTAAACTAATCAACTGATATATCCATGAACTCTTTTAGTGAGACAGTTCTCTATATAATTAAAACATACAAGATACAAATATCTTGAAAATATATTTGATAATGTTTCCATTTAGTACAAACTTATGGCCTTTCAATGCCAGGAGGATAAACAAAATTTAACGGGAGTTCCCGAACACGTCTATTTATAAATATGGGAAACAAAATTTAAGCAAAAAGCAAAGTTCAGTCGCAGGCTGATAGATGTCAACAAAACAAATGTGGTTGAAATATGTGGGAATCCCCGACGTACCGACTAAAACCTGTACAGAAATATCCTTTAGCTTGTTTTCTGATGACCTGCAGACGTAAGTACCAGCATGGTGGTTGCTGGCCCTGTCCACATGTAGCGTACTAACAAGAGCACCGTGTTCATACAAGCGATAATTGTAGATGACGTATTCCTGGAATTTCTTGCCTTGAACTATATTTCCGTCCTGTGCATAAAATAATGGATTAACGATAGAAAGTTTGAAATGAATTTCATTAATGCATTAAAAATACCAAGTTTTCGTAAAGGTCCTCTCCACCCGTCCATCCCCGTGGCGCTACAGCCCCTGTAGGGCTTTGGCCTGCCTCACCGATTCCTTCCACTAGGACCATCCATCTCTCCATCCCTGTGGCGCTACAGCCCATGTAGGTTTTTGGCCAGCCTCACCACTTCCTTCCACTAGGACCATCCACCCGTCCATCCCTGTGGCGCTACAGCCCATGTAGGGCTTTGGCCTGCCTCACCACTTCCTTCCACTAGGACCATCCATCTCTCCATCCCTGTGGCGCTACAACCCATGTAGGTTTTTCGCCTGCCTCACCAATTCTTTCCACTAGGACCATCCATCCATCCATCCATCCATCCCTGTGGCGCTACAGCCCATGTAGGGCTTTGGCCTGCCTCACCACTTCATTCCTCTCAGACCTAACTAATGCTTTTCTTTTCCTTGTTTGGATTCCTTCGCTGCGGTAGACCTTTTCCCAATCATCCATATGTCTAAGCCTAGGTCTGCCTTTGAGCAGTGTTCCTCTGGGTTTCGGTGGTGCACCCTCTTTATTCCTCTGTCATTCTTTCTAAGTGTCCCACCCTGCGCAGCCTTCCCCCCTTTTTAATTTCACATACAAATATCCACACCATTCCTATATCTTTTTGTTTATATAATCGACATTTTATACACCAAAATAAGACTATTTAACATATCTGCATGATCCAACTAGTTAAACAAGAATAGTTATTACCATGAATATTATGAACCAGAGACATGATAATGACATTATTGTTTTGTTAAAAGTCGATAGTAGACAAGCTTTTGATGAAAAAAAAAAATTTGCTCAAGGGAAGTTGTTCATAAAAAAATGAATGAGGTTATCAATGAAAAAAAAAATGAACACTAGGGAAGTTATCAATGAAGGAGTGCTGATACATCAACTTCAAGTTCCTCACCTTAAACCAATCGATTTGCTCAGCTATCTGCTCACCACCAGTGGCGTTACACTGAAGTTGAATCTGCCCCCCACGCTCAACAAACTGTGTCCCGGTCAAAGTCACTTCTGCAATATCATTGGTTAACACTACCAACAAGAAAAGAACAGGCATAACAGTAGGTACAAGGACAAGAACAACCACGGCAGTATGTACAACAAGAAGAACAATCACAGCAGTAGGTACAACAAGAACAATCACAGCAATATTACAAGAACAAGAACAGCCACAGCAGTATAGCTACACCAACAAGAACAGCCAAAGCAGTAGGTACACCAATAATGATCAACAACTTTATCATTTTCTTTCAGTTTCTGCTCCTGTTCATTTTTGTTATTGTAACTTAAAAGCTGTTGGTGACTAATGTATAAGGATTTTATGGAATAATTCCCCACAATCGTCACTGTCTATCTGGCGATGTCCAAACCAAACTTGAATAAGTTAAATAGAACGTGCTCAAAATGACAAAGATTCATTCTATTGAAGGAAATATTATCTATAATCTCTAAGTGCGTACAAAAGTGTATACAAATGTGTGCATATATTCCCTAACAGACCCATTGGTATGAGAATATATTAAGTTGTCAACACTGGTATTGCGCTGTGCATATTCTTTGTTTACCCTCTAAACTCTAGACCAGGGGTGTCAAACTCAATCGCTCGGCGGGCCAAAGCTCAAATCACACGGAAGGTGGCGGACCGAACCGGATACACATTTAATAAGCGGAAAATTAAACCTTTGTAAAACATTAATATCAATTAAAACAGAGAAAAAGTTTTATTAATTAAAACTCATTGGTATACCCATTTTTGCTCTTATGGCAATTTGTCAGAGCTGGATGTTAAGCATCTTGACTTGGCTACAAGTTCGTTAATGTTGGAAGTAACATTCTGTGTCATTGGGATTCTCATGATGGACTGCAAGTGTTCATCAGTAAGATGACTCCTGTGGGATGTCTTGTTAATCTTCATCACAGAAAACAGCTGCTCACACAGATATGTGCTACCAAGCAAGGTTCAAGCCAGATGTAGACGGAGCTGGGACATCTCTTCAGGAATGAAGCGAGTGAACTGTGCAGGCCCAGGTGTGTCGTACTGTGTCTTTGGTGTCCCATTACACTGCAGCTCTATGAGCTCCATCTGCAAATTTATAGGTGCAGTTTCCACTTCTATGACAAATCTGTTTCGAAACAACTCGAAATTACATTTCTGTGCTTCAAAGTCACTAAAGCACCGTGCGAACTCGGCGCGAAGTAAGCTAAGTTTTTCAGCAAAGAGTGCATTGGGAAACACCATAGCGTTGACTTGGTTCAACATTGTTTGGTGTAACGATCATAAATGTGTAGGTTATGATGTTACTTGCAGATTTGTAATTATCGCTTACACTATTCATCCACATTTACATACGTCAATGCTTATCCAAACAAGTACGAGAGGACTCCTTGACTTCGCATCACGACGTTTATTGACTGATCAACGAACACATAATAAAATAATATCTTTGCAGATCAGAGCAAATATAAGTGTCACATCTAACGTCTTCCACTTCACAAATCAACATTAAGATGCTGTAACTAGATGATCGTAGCAAGTGCTCATAAGAAACAATATGTCCAACGGTCACTGTCGATTCTTGTGTATCCCATCATTCCTTAACTTCCTGTTTTTTCTACTTAACAAAACAATACATTATTTTACGAAACAAAATTGATATCTAAATATTAGATCTGTGACATTTGGCAACAAGAAAAGTGAGACAGGTTGCATTGGTGCATTTGTGCCTCCCATAAGCTTCAAGCTTCACTTGAAATGCCTTCACTGCATCATGCGTATCAGTGATCTAGTGGTCCCTTCCCTGGATCTGCAGGTTCAAGTGGTTGAGACAAGTGGTTACGTCAGACAGGCTAACTCACATTTCCACTTTTTATCCCGAAAAATTGTGAAGTTTTTTCTCCTTTGCTTTCCATGAATTGACAGATCTCCTCGATCAGCTAGAAAAATCTACTAAGATCTTTTACCTAACTTGGCCACCGCACCTTTGTTATGATCAGGCGTATCGCAGGCAGGCTAAAGTTGGAAGCGTTGACATACGTCGTCAAAAATATATTTTTCTGTCGCTGTCCCATGCGTGGATTTCATGCACGATATTCCTTCTGTGACATTCAAACTGGTGTTCACTTCACAGATGACGATGGCGAGTTGGGCAGTGTGCCAGTCGTGTCATAACTTTCATCGACAGCAAGTGAGCATGCCTTTTTTTATCAGCCGTGTTTTCACATCGGTGGTATCTCACAACCCCGATCAGCAACCGCATTTCTGCTAAGGCTTACATTTGCAAACATCTGCTTTTTTCTGAACACAAGACGTCAAACACTTTCACCATGCAGCGCCTCAGAAACTCTCCTTCTGCAAATAGTCGGTTTTGCGACCACCTTCGCCACAATAAAACTTACTGTGAATCAAAGCAGCTTCAGTTTTGTGATTTTGCTTTGGTGAAAAACGTCTGCTGTGATGTTGGATTGCTTTTCAAGTTTTCTACCTTCTGTAGCTTCTGCTCTGCATTCAGGCTTTTTAACTCGTATCGGTGTTTAGTCCTGTAGTGTCGTCTCAGATTATATTCCTTGATCACAGCCACGTTCTTTCTACAAATTAAACACACAGTTTTACCGCCAATCACTAAACATATAATTAACCTTGTAGAGACTTTGAAAGGCTTCGTTTTCATAATCCCCTTGTTCTCTTGGCCATTTCAAGGCTGGCTTTGATTAAAGAAACAAAAAAAAGATTGTGATCTACCGACCGACGCTTGATTGATTTCACGTTAGCCGTAGCGGGAAAATGTGATGTCATATCCGGGAACCACACTACCTTCATTTCTTATGCGCCAATCCAAAACGAGCAACTGTCGATTGTGGGCCTGTGTCACGTCTATATTCACTTACAGTTCACACAGATCACACAATGCTAATATTAATTACTAACTATAATTAACTATACTATTATATATTATCTATCTATGAACAACAGAGTCGTTGTGGAGTTCAGTGAAAGATAGTAACTATCATTTATTATTAATACACACTCACGAATAAGCAATAATAATCACAAATACTTATCATAATCATAACCTCTTCATTATCTTATCAACTAATTAATATCTTCATATCATGGACTTAAACTTATAACAACCGCCATAATTCTATCCTCTATCTTCTCTTCTCCCTGATTGGTCCCTCTTTTCCAAGTTCCATACTCTATAAGTTCTAAGTCCTAATTCTCACCTCTCTTAACTCCCTTAACTCAACTTATCTCAGTGACATATACGTTACTGAAACGACAAACATCCATTCACTTCACAACTTTTATTTTCGCTTATCCTGATCGAAGCGAGAACGCTCTCAGGTAGGCTGCTAAGTAGGGAATTTGATTAGCCCTTTATATCGCAGGACAATTAAATAATATTTTTGCCTAAAATGCTCTCTCGAGCCGGACAAAATTGTACCCCGGTCAAGACCTCTCGAGCCTGATTTAATTGTACGGCGGGCCGGATGTGCCCCGCGGGCCTTGAGTTTGACACATGTGCTTTAGACTTTAGAGACGGATCCTCGCTGGTTTAAACAAATCTGACTGGTCAGATCTTGTCTTATCTATCCACGCTCGTCTGTCCACTATGGGGCCCTCCTTAAGGCATGTCTCACTATTTTAGACAGTAGACAGTTTTTACCTCCTCCCCTACCTCTGTCACAATTTGTCACAAATCTCAGACACCCCCTCCCCCCTTAAGTACGTCACATTTCGAACTATACAATGTGTTTCAAAATAAACAACTAATTAATTGAAAAAAATCTAAAACACACTTACTATCAAACAATTAAATGCACACAAGGGAAATCTTCTCCCAGAATACATCGATCCCAAGAGCAAGTGTAACATCACCATGAATTTTAGGTTTTATAAATATAAAAAAAGTGTGACGTGAAACAAAATCTTTTACCACCTCCTCCACCACCCCAGTGTCACAAACTGCGACACTTTCTTAGACCCCCCCTCCACCACCCGGGTGTCACAAACTGCGACACTTTCTTAGACCACCTCCTCCACCGCCCCAGTGTCACAAACTGTGACACTTTCTTAGACCACCTTCTTCACCACCACAGTGTCTGTCACAAACAGCGACACTTTCTTAGACCACCTCCTCCACCACCCCAGTGTCACAAACTGCGACACTTTCTTAGATTACTTCCACCACCACCCCAGTGTCACAAACTGCGACACTTTCTTAGATTACTTCCACCACCACCCCAGTGTCACCAACTGCGACACTTTCTTTGACCACCTCCTCCACCACCACAGTGTCACAAACTGCGAAACTTTCTTAGACCACCTTCACCACTACCCCAATGTCACAAACTGCGACACTTACTTAGACCACATCCTACACCACCCCAGTGTTACTAACTGCGACACTTTCTTAGACCACCTCCCCCACCACCCCCCGAGACTCTCACGTCCTTCCCGTTCTTCTAAACTTTGTTTTTTGTCTTTGTTTGGCGCCGGCAATTTTTCTGTTCTCTCTTTTAGGTAGGATACATGTCAATATATTTTGATACTATGTCAATTTAATTTAAATATTTCTCATTTAAATGTTTTTTTTTTTTTTGTAAGATGAAGGCATTTGCCTAAACTTTTACATGTGTAATCTTGTAAAATCGTCCGTGAAGCTGCACACATCTTGTTTTATGGACAGAGACTGTGTCGTATTAATCCACAACCTGTGACACTCACATAGAAACCCGCCCCCCCCCGGTCCCATTAGCTGCGCGACGTACTTTATGGACGATATCTATTACATACACACATAACCATTTGATGCCTTGTCTGTATTACATATACACACAACCATTTGATGACTTGTCTGTATTACATATACACATAACCATTTGATGACTTGTCTGTATTACATATACACACAACCATGTGATGACTTGTCTGTATTACATATACACACAACCATTTGATGACTTGTCTGTATTACATATACACACAACCATGTGATGACGTGTCTGTATTACATATACACACAACCATTTGATGACTTGTCTGTATTACATATACACACAACCATTTGATGACTTGTCTGTATTACATATACACACAACCATTTGATGACTTGTCTGTATTACATATACACACAACCATTTGATAACTTGTCTGTATTACATATACACACAACCATATGATGACTTGTCTGTATTACATATACACACAACCATTTAATGACTTGTCTGTATTACATATACACACAACCATATGATGACTTGTCTGTATTACATATACACACAACCATGTGATGACTTGTCTGTATTACATATACACACAACCATTTGATGACTTGCCTGTATTACATATACACACAACCATATGATGACTTGTCTGTATTATATATACACACAAACATTTCAGGACTTGTCTGTATTACATATACACACAACCATGTGATGACTTGTCTGTATTACATATATATACAACCATTTGATGACTTGTCTGTATTACATATACACACAACCATATGATGACTTGTCTGTATTACATATACACACATCCATTTCAGGACTTGTCTGTATTACATATACACACAAACATGTCATGACTTGTCTGTATTACATATACACACAACCATTTGATGACTTGTCTGTATTACATATACACACAACCATATGATGACCTGTATGTATTACATATACACACAACCATATGATGACTTGTCTGTATTACATATACATACAAACATTTGATGACCTTATGTACCCACTAGAGAGCTCCGCTCATCCGATAGTGGCAAACTCTTGACACCACGTGTTCGCCTTGAGACTTACGGAAAGCGCACTTTCGCATTTGCTGGTCCAACAATTTGGAACGCCCTTCCTGTCGATCTCAGAAACAACCAGACACTGGTGTCCTTTAAAACCGATTTAAAGACACATTTATTTCGCAAACACCTTCTGGGATTAATTCCAACCTTATTTTCCATTTAATGCATAATGGCTGTGTTGCTCACGGTTGAAATGGATTGAAAGACTTTGACATTGTATGCTTGTAATTAGTTTTTGTAGTGTTGCGTTTGTTTTAAATGTGGTAAATTATAGATTTGTTTTTTGTTGACTTTGTACCGCGCTTCGAGCCTTTGGGGATGAAGCGTGTTTTTGAAATGAACTTTATTATTATTATTACATATACACACAAACATATGATGACTTGTCTGTATTACATACAAACACAACCCTATATACTTACCAGGGTTTGAAATCGGAGGTCCTATTGAGATGATAAATAAAAGTTTGTTTAGTAATATGTCAATGTGACTGGAATAAATAGCGGACAGTAATGTCCTTAAGTAGGTCTACAAACTGTCTCTTAAAGAACAAGTAGATAATTAATACTTGTATTTCTTTGGCACAGTGTTTCATGTTCACTGTAAGTTCCTATGAGATAGTAACATCCATTAGGCGATGAACTAATGTTTGACCAATTAAGTGACATGCAAACAGAAAGATTAACAGGGAGCTACGCCGATGGCTGGATCGGTCGGGATAAGTCAATACAAAAATTAACACTGTCCTTTATATAAGTTGAAAAGGAAACACATAAATTTTCTAGAAACCATGAATTGACCCACAATATTTAACTTGATATGAACTAACCTACAATGTTTAACCTGTTGTGAACTAACCTAAAACGTTTCACCTGATTTGAACTAACCTACAATGTAGAGACCGACCGAATTTTGGCTTCGGTTTCGGCGCTGAAAGTGGCAATTGTATCACTTTCAGCCAAGTTTCGTTTTCGGCCAAAACTTAGAGTTAATTTTCGGCTTAATTTCGGTTTCGGCCGAAAGAGAAAAGTTAACTTTCGTTTTTTTTCGGTTTCGGCCGAAATTGACTTTGACTTTCGGTCATCCGGCCGAAAGCGACTGAGGTTTTCGGTCATCTAATAGTCAGCGAAAGCGATATTTAGCAACAAACTAAGCGATCTTTAAAAACAAAGAAAGTGATCTTTAAGAACAAATTAAGCGATCTTTGAGAACAAACTAAACGATATTTAAGAACAAACTAAACGATCTTTAAAAAAAACTAAGTGATCTTTAAGAACAATCTAAGCGATCTGTAATAAAAAACTAAACGATCTTAAAAAACAAAGTAAGCAATTTTTAAGAGCGAACTAAATGATTTTTAAGAACAAAACAAATGATCTTTAATAGTAAACTAAATGATTTATAACAATAAATTAAGCGATCTTTAACAGAAAACTAAATGTTCTTTAGGAACAAACTAAAAGATCTTTAAGAACAAACTAATCGATCTTAAGGAAAAAAATCAATCATCTATAAGAACAAACTAAGTGATCCGAACGTTATGAAAAAAATAAGCGATCTTCAACAACAAAATAAGGGATCTTTAAGAACAAACTAAACGATTTTTATATAAAAAACTAAATGATCTTTAAGAACAACTAAGCGATATTTAAGAACAAAATCAAAGATCTTTAAGAACAAATTAAGCGAGCTTTATAAACAAACTAAACGTTCTTTTAATAATACAAACTAAGTGATCTTTAAGAAAAAACTTAGCTATCTTTTTTGAACAAACTAAATGATCTTTAATAACAAACTAAAAGATCTTTAAATAAAATCTAAGCGATCTTTAAGAGCAAACTAAACAATCTTTAACATCAAGATGTTATATTAGATGTTTATTTATTAATATTAACGATTATCTTCCTTTTTTATAAAAAGAATGTCAATATTGATAATTTCCCCCATCATTTTCGATGTATGCCTAATGTATGCGGGGAACGAATTTCAAAATATCTAAATATTTCATTTTCGCTTTCGGCTTCGGTTTCGGAGTCATTTTTAACTTTCGGCCTTTTTTCGATTTCGGCCGAACGTCATTTTTAAACTTTCGGCCTATTTTCGACCGAAATCAGAAAATCACTCTCGGTCGGTCTCTAGTACAATGTTTAACATGACCATGAATTAACCTACATTGTTTAGCATGACCACTAACTGACCTACACTATTCAAAATGACCTCGCACTGACCTACACTGTATAACATGACCACGTACTGACCTACAACAATCAACCTGACGAGCGTATGGTACCCGGCCACTGACGTCAGCTGGCACTCATACAAGCCACTGTCCGATTTCTTCACTTTCGGAAAGATGAGTGTCCAGTCTTCCAGCTCCTCGCTGTGCTTGACGTGATCAACTTGGATGTCGTCATCTGGTGACCAGGCCATTGTTCCAATGGTCATAAACTTGTCTTGGTCCACAGATCTCCAGGCCACCTAATGGAAACAAGTCTCAGATAAATCCATCAATTAATTCTGTACTAAATCTTATGTTCAGTGTTGGAAAAGTGCTGCCGCGAAGCCACGGGATGAGATACTGTAAGGTGTAAGCATGGGTGTACACAAGTGCTTCTCAAATGGTGGTCCGCGGGCCGGCGCCGGTCCCGCGAGCCTAACGTGGCCGGTCCGCGCAACATGAATATTTATGCTCGAATAAAAAGAAAATGTAATTAATGAAGCTGGCGTCGGCCCTCTGAAGCAATTTCATAAAAACGTGTCCACCGGACCCCCAGGCTCTTCGCTGGTGCAGAAGATGCTGTAATATCCCTAACTGCTGTAAAGGCATTCACAGGACAAGACGTCGCTGCTCAGAATCTATGACTGAAAAGAAGTTGATTTTGCTGAGATTTGGAACTAGGAAGCTGCAAGTATTTCACTGAGCCGAGTCAGCAGCGTGTTCAGCAAAGTAAGTGACTACCTCTTTTTTTTTATGTCATGTATCCCACTTTCAGGCCAAAAACTCTTAGAGGCCATGCTTACTTTTACCATAGTAGTAATGTTGATTAAAGTGGTGATGTTGAATAAAGTGGTGATGTTGAATAAAGTGGAGATTTCATTAAAGTGGTAATGTTGATTAAAGTAGGGATGTTGAATTAGTTGTAAAGTTGATTAAAGTAGAGATGTTGAATAAGTGGTAAAGTTGATTAAAGTAGAGATGTTAAATAAGTGGTAAAGTTGATTAAAGTAGAGATGTTGATTAAAGTAGTAATGTTGATTAAAGTAGGGATGTTGAATAAGTGGTGATGTTGATTACAGTGATGAAGTCTCAATCATTTGATACGAGAATTTAGATCGTTCAACAGGATGAATAGGGCGCACTTGACGTGTCTCATTCCTGAGTTAAGCTTTAGAGAACGATGCTTGCCCCCTCCCCCCAATGTAGGCAATACACGTGCATGGCGTGTCATAGAAGGTGCTGCGTGTAGCAAGGTGCTTTTTAACTGGGAGAAGAGGACATTAGTTGATTTCCCTTAACATCACGTTTCTTCTTGTGTGGGTGTGTGGTTCAATGGACGTTTTTGTGTGGATTGTGCATAGAGAGAGGGAAGAAAGGGTAGAAAGAAAGAGAGAGGAAGAGTGAGAGAGAGAAATAGAGAAGGAGTTATAGAGAGGGAGGGACACAAAGAGGGGGAGAGAGAGAAAGGAAGAGAGATAGAGGGGGGACAGAGAGAGTGTGAGGGAGAGAGAATGAGAGAGAGAGGTGGAGACATAGAGGAAGAAATAGAGGGAAAGAGAGGGAGAGGAAGAGATAGGTAGAGAGATGGATAGGGAGAGAGAGGGATAGGAAAATGAATAGGGAGAGAGAGGGAGAGTCAGGAAGAGAGAAAGGGGGGATAGAGAGGGAAGGAGATAGGAGGACCTGTCATTTTTGTGCCACCTAAGTTGCTTCTGTTACTGTCAGGGATATTTGGGCCCCTTAAGTCGTTTCTGTTAAGGATATTTAGCTGTCTGGGCTGCTTCTGTCAGTAATCTTTGGACAGCTTGTACCGATTCTGTCAGTCATCTTTGGACAGCTTGTACCGATTCTGTCAGTGATAGTTCGGCATCTTGTGAATACTGGTGAATTAAATCTCTATTTAAAGCAAGTTCTCAAAAATAATAATAATAAATAATAATAAAGTTTATTTGAAAATCACGCTTCATTCATCCCCAAAGGCTCGAAGCACGCTAAATATATCGATAGATTTACAGACTTTGAGATTGAGACAACGCCCTTGTCAGTGAATTTTGAAAGAGAGTGCACTCAGTGAGACAGGTATCCCTTCCTCGAGTACACTCAGTGAGACAGGTATCCCTTCCTCGAGTACACTCAGTGAGACAGGTACCCCTTCCTCGAGTACACTCAGTGAGACAGGTACCCCTTCCTCGAGTACACCCAGTGAGACAGGTACCCCTTCCTCGAGTACAATCAGTGAGACAGGTACCCCTTCCTCGAGTACACTCAGTGAGACAGGTACCCCTTCCTCGAGTACACTCAGTGAGACAGGTACCCCTTCCTCGAGTACAATCAGTGAGACAGGTACCCCTTCCTCGAGTACACTCAGTGAGACAGGTACCCCTTCCTCGAGTACAATCAGTGAGACAGGTACCCCTTCCTCGAGTACACTCAGTGAGACAGGTACCCCTTCCTCGAGTACAATCAGTGAGACAGGTACCCCTTCCTCGAGTACACTCAGTGAGACAGGTACCCCTTCCTCGAGTACAATCAGTGAGACAGGTACCCCTTCCTCGAGTACACTCAGTGAGACAGGTACCCCTTCCTCGAGTACAATCAGTGAGACAGGTACCCCTTCCTCGAGTACACTCAGTGAGACAGGTACCCCTTCCTCGAGTACAATCAGTGAGACAGGTACCCCTTCCTCGAGTACACTCAGTGAGACAGGTACCCCTTCCTCGAGTACAATCAGTGAGACAGGTACCCCTTCCTCGAGTACAATCAGTGAGACAGGTACCCCTTCCTCGAGTACAATCAGTGAGACAGGTACCCCTTCCTCGAGTACACTCAGTGAGACAGGTACCCCTTCCTCGAGTACACCCAGTGAGACAGGTACCCCTTCCTCGAGTACACCCAGTGAGACAGGTACCCCTTCCTCGAGTACAATCAGTGAGACAGGTACCCCTTCCTCCTGTACACTCAGTGAGACAGGTACCCCTTCCTCGAGTACACCCAGTGAGACAGGTACCCCTTCCTCGATCAAGACACTAGAAGAAATACGCATTACAATAAGCTGTGTCGAAGGTAAAATTCATCAGCAACTAAAATGCGTTGCAACTCGACATCTCCCACGGCAAAATTTAGGATGCTCGGTGGTCAAGTGGCTTAAGCTGACTCGTTCCCATTCTTGTTGACTGTAGTTCCATCCCCAGCCGCGAGAAAAACAACACAAGCACTATTTCAATTAATCATTGTAAATTATTGAATTAATTTTGTTCAATTAATTTACTATGTGCGATAATGGTTGAGATGTTAAAAATTATTTTATTATTTGATTTTTAAAACCCAACCCCCCCACCCTCACTCCTACACACACACACACTTTTTCTTTGTAACGTCCTAAGATCTCTATTTATAATACGTACCAGCAGACGAAAAAAAAAAAAAAGGGGGGGGGGGGAGGGCGTGATGATATGGATTTGAAAAGTTTGTGTTCATAGACGCGTCTTTCCACCAGGCGCGGCGCTAACATCACGACAGTCATAGAATCTTAAACAACGCAGCCGATAAGATAAACCACGTCATATTTACGTTATAACTTGCCAGGACGTATTGTTTACTTCCCAACAGCTACATGTCGTATCGGAGTTCTCTCGGTTTGGGAAATGTTTAGTGAGGTATCGTCTGATAGAGAGAACTGCAATCATTTTTTGTGTGTTTGTTTTGGTAACAGCCTTAGACATCGATTTTTTGCTTTCTATGATTATTCATCTATTTTTTGAGAGCTTTACAATTTGTGTGTTATTATACTCTTCAAACTTCTGCATGCACAATGTCTTTAATAATGAATAATGTTGAATAATAGTAGAATAATGTAAAACCTTAATTTTAACAAATGTTCAATAATAGATAAAACTTTGTGGATTATTTTTTTTATAAAAAAATCTCTCTGAAATTTAACATTGGAGATGAGACTTGCTACATTATAGATAAGACTTTCAACACCATATATGAGACTTTCTAACCATAGATGAGACTTTCTACACTATAGATGAGACTTCCTACACTACAGATGAGACTTTCTAAAAATAAGCACATATAATTATGGTCGACACCGAACTGAATTCGATTCCACCGTCTACATTACATATAGATCAGATATATGGGACTCAGTTCCGTTGTCTATATTACATTTAGATCATACTCAGGGAATCGGTTCGAAATATTTTAATAAAGTATCGACTAAAACCAGCTTTGGCTTCTTTAAAACAATAGATTTTAACCAGTTTACTGTGAACAGGTTTAACGAAAGACTTAGCCACAATTTAGCCAGCTTACTGCGAAAAGGTTTAACAAATGACTTAGCCACAATTTAACCAGATTACCGTGAAAAGGTTTAACAAATGACTTAGCCACAATTTAACCAGCTTACTGTGAAAAGGTTTAACAAATGACTTAGCCACAATTTAACCAGCTTACTGTGAAAAGGTTTAACAAATGACTTAGCCACAATTTAACCAGCTTACTGCGAAAAGGTTTAACAAATGACTTAGCCACAATTTAACCAGATTACCGTGAAAAGGTTTAACAAATGACTTAGCCACAATTTAACCAGCTTACTGTGAAAAGGTTTAACAAATGACTTAGCCACAATTTAACCAGCTTACTGTGAAAAGGTTTAACAAATGACTTAGCCACAATTTAGCCAGCTAACTGTGAAAAGGTTTAACAAATGACTTAGCCACAATTTAACCAGCTTACTGTGAAAAGGTTTAACTAAAGACTTAGCAACAATTTAACCAGCTTACTGTGAAAAGGTTTAACGAAAGACTTAGCCACAATTTAACCAGCTTACTGTGAAAAGGTTTAACGAAAGACTTAGCCACAATTTAACCAGCTTACTGTGAAAAGGTTTAACTAAAGACTGAGCAAGAATTTAACCAGCTTACTGTGAAAAGGTTTAACGAAAGACTGAGCAAGAATTTAACCAGCTTACTGTGAAAAGGTTTAACGAAAGACTTAGCCACAATTTAACCAGCTCACCTTGAAAAGGATGAAGAAAAGTCAGGTTCTAAATAGAACCAACAGATGAACCAACAGATGAACCAACAGATGAACCAACAGATGAACCAACAGATGAACCAACAAATGAACCAACAGATGAACCAACAGATGAACCAACAGATGAACCAACAGATGAACCAACATGTGAACCAACAGATGAACCAACAGATGAACCAACAGATGAACCAACAGATGAACCAACAGATGAACCAACGGA